TTTTTTAATTTTATTTAATTTTTAATTTAATTTTAATGCTGTGGTTTCAGCAAAGAGGAAACTGCCAGGTCGCCGCACTAAAAAAATTAATAATAAAGCATTTTCTATTTAATTATAAACTTTGTCGTAATTATGAGTTTTAACTGTTTAATAATAAAAAAAAGGAAACGTCACAAAAAACACTGAAGGTCATGAGAATAAATTGAGATTTAGCAATTCAATGATGTATCAGTGATACTGGCCCGTATTTACTTGGTATCGGATCGATACCAACATATGCAGCACTAACGTAGTTCCCACGTTGTGCCTCTCGCAGCACGTGTTTCTGTGCAGCTAAATCAGCTGTTTTCTGTCTCAGAGTCCTTACTTGGTCAGGTGTTGGTGCCTTTTGATCTTGTGAAGAAGCACCCCAAAGGCCAGCGTACATTTGAACTCATCACCAAAGATGTAGTGACCGGATCACTGACTACTGACGTAAGACCTAAAAACTCATTTTCTATCGCGTGTTTTCCTGTAATATCACCAGATTTCGATGAATTCCTTCCACGTGTCTCTTGTTTTCATTTACACGTAGTTTGAGTAATAACTTGAATCGTGTGTTTCAGTTTACCTACCTGGAGCCGAGCGAGGTGAGGTCTTGGCAACCTCCTACGCCAGCCTCTAATAAGAGGGTGGAGATGGACCGCACGGTCATGCCCTGTGGCACGGTGGTTACCACGATCACAGCGGTGAAGAGCAAGCCGGGTCGACCACTCCCACTCAATATAGGTAAAGGGAAGTTAGAGTAGCACAGTTCCCCAGTCAGCTGTTTAGATGCTGGTTAGTTGGCAACTCAACTCGGTCATTTTCATAATTCGACAAAAATGAATGTTCTGAAAGTCTTTTACATGAATGAAACGTCAGTGAGACACTTTCTTGCTTCCTCAGATCCTGCCCAGAAGGCCGTGGTCAACAAGCCCAAGCTGGGGGAGCGCCGCGTCTCAGAGCAGGTGTCTATGCTCGGGGGCACTGTGAGCAAGGCCCTGTCCTCCTCCGACACTGAGCTGCTGATGCTCAATGGGACAGACCCTGTGGCCGAAGCCGCCATAAGACAACTCCACCAGTCTGCTAAACAGAAGCTCAAGTCCCCGGTGAAGAAGAGTACCATCATCATCTCGGGCATCGCCAAAGTAATTATGAGCTCCTTTTTCTTTTTTTAACCTTTTCACTTATAATTCAGCTTAAATAGCACAAAAGCACAGCTGGAGCCAATCTTGCATGTTTGATACTCTGGAAGTCGGATTCCTCGAGTGCTTTTTAAGCTAATCTGTTCCATAACCTGTGGTTCATGACGTCAGAGGAGAGAAGTCGATGCCTCGTCTGCAGCAGCGAGGGCCTTCTCGTGTTGTTAGCACCCTTCATTGTGCCTGGGCCTTCCACACTAGCTCCACAACAAATACGGCTTTAATGGGAATGTGATTTATTTCCCAGACGCCTCTGTCTCAGGATGATGAGCTGGCTATGATGGCGGGTTACGCTGCAGCGATGGACGCATCAATGTCAGAGAGCAGCTCTACTCAGGATGTGACCACAGCGATCGCATCGGGGACTAGTACCCCTCCAGAGATGTTGGAGCCCATGGAAGGTCCCAGAGTTGAAGGGCGGCCTCCGGACGACTGGGAGAGCCAAACTGGCGAGGAACAAGACAATGCTTCACTGTCCATGTGTGTGTCTGAGGCGAGCTGCAAGAAGACCAGAGGTGAGAGACCTCTCGATGCATCTTTACAGGAGTATTATTAAACCTTAAAATCCTGAAAAGGAAAATAATACCTTTACAAGCAGAACTTGATCTGTTTTGGCTGTTTGGGGTTTGTTAGCCACTCCTTCGTTATGCACTCTCTCTCTCTTTGTGTTCTCCTTCCTGCTTCCCCTCAACTCTTTGAACCTTTTCCAACTGTCATCACTGCCACCTTAGAGGAAAGCAGTGCTAAGCACACGTTGCATGAGTAAGTTACTTCATGAGTTACTTGTAGTATTCTTGGTATTCTAATCTCTGTAGTTTCTGTTAGCAGTAGAATAGATAACAGTGTTTTTCTACAAGGTGAGATTCACTTTTGTAGTTCCTCTAAAATCAGTTTGCAAAAAAAAAGCTCACAAAATTAAAGGAATACTTTGAAAAAACATCGGAGAAAAAATCATGCTGATATCTTTAGTGGCACTGGGTAATGTGTTAGGGATGAAAGGGTGCCGCATGAAAATCATCAGCCCAAAAATCGAAGACTGGAACAACTCAAAA